ACGCCTCCGGCGCCTCCACCTCCGCTTCCGGTCCCGGCCGCGTTCTGCCTGCCCCGCAGCTCCTCCAGTTGTCGCGTCAACTCCTCCACCTTCGCCACCGCCAATGAGAGCTCCTTCTCCTTCTCGTTGAACAGCGCCCTTATGCAGTCCAGGTCCGAGGCTGTGAAGAAACGAAGAAACGCGTCAGGCCGAGGAACAAGGCGATTTTTATATTCGACGGGCGTGAAAGCAAACGTGAAACGATTCTTTACCGATTCTTAGCGCTGCGCCGTGAGCGAGAACTCTCTTTTCATCTCTCTTTCTAAGAAAATTGCGAAAAGAGAAAAAGAAAAAAGAAAAGCGTGTGCTCGAAAACGAGAATAGGAATACGTTTCAACGTATACGACCAACATCCTGAGTTTTGTCCCAGTTTCCTGGGACATTTATTCTCAAGTACGAGCCAGAAACTGATTCGATATTTCTTCAAAGAGAGGACAGGAGAAGAAGGTCCGGTTGAAGGTGAAACGGGACAATCGTTTGACCTGGTACGGCGACGAGTCCGCCGTGGATGAAACTTTCTTTTAATTATTTCCTCGCTTCCTTTGACACGTTTTCCCTCCGATTCGCGATACACTTTTTATGCAGTTTTAATCTCTTTCTTCGACCCAGAATATCCCATTCAAAGAGCAAGAATCGGAAACAAGGGTTGACAACAACAAATAATCTTCCTCCGGAAACCAGCGTCCTCGACGAAGGAGAGGAACGTTTTCGTTTACCGCGAAAAGGAAAAAACGCGGGGAAAAACGGCGAAAACGTTTTTTAAACATCTTTCGTCCCCGATTCAATGGGGACTCATCCTCCTTATTTTCCTTTCCCCCAAGAACAACGAAATAATTCAACGGTTAATTGTTGAAACCGAGTCACGAGTCGAACCATAACGCGAATCCTCGCCGCGTCTACCCTCGTAAATCATTCCTTTAATTGGCTCTTTTTCCAACTTTCCAACGTTATCCGCCGCCGAGGCTGCTTTCTCGTCGCGCGATGCGATCCTCGCCTGTGCGATCCATGCATGTGAATCTTTCAAGCTGGAGATGGAGAACATGAAAGGAAGCTATTATTGAGTTTGGAACACGAGGAAGAAGATATCCCTCTATTTTTTTTTTTTTTTCTTCATAAAGAGGGAAGATATCTCGTGAGATATCTCTCGTAGCTTTAATATTTAAGCGACTCCGTCTATAACCTGTTTCTAGACTGAGATCGTTGGAAAATTCATTCGTTCGATTTACAAAGGTTGGATTAATTTTGGTAAAATATTTTCGATAATCTTCGATTAAACTCGATCATTTTTTTTTTATTCATTCAATCACGTTTAACTTTCTTAAATTTCTCTCGAAACGGTCGTTTCTCTTGAAACGAAGGTTTCGTTTTTGCGGTTGGAATATATGGTCTTGGATCGACCGATTTCGTCTCGATATCATCGTGGAAGAAACGATTCTTCGCCTCGTGTATCCGATACATCCAAGGAAGAGAAGCGTTTTCACTTGGGATACGGGACAAGAATCGTGATTCGACTGGTCCCGTTTCGTTTATTTGTCTCCGGTGTCTCATTTCTTCTGCAGCGCCACTGACGCTTATTGCGAATCTCTTTCTCCGAATCGTATCAAGCACGAGAATTTTAAACATTCCCGCTCCATTGCAGTTTCTGTAGTTTCATTAGAAAATCCTTGGAGAATTCATACGCGAAGAGAAGGAAGGAGGGAAGAGGATGAAGAATTAAAGCGGGAGTCGAAATTAGCCTCCTTTCGTCTCAAGATCACAAAGTTCCCTAATATTTTAATATACC